CGTGATTGTATTTAATTGGGCCCAGTCATATTCATCCAGCTTTTGTTTAACAATTTTGTCATTTAACACTTCGCGCATACTATTATTTTCGTTTCGTGGGTAGGTGTTGAAAAAGTCAATACATAGTTTTCAAAAGCTCTAAATTTATTTAAATTATTTATACCTAAATTACATCTAAATACAGTAAATTATTATTTATTCTTATAACACTTACAGTTACTATCCTGTTTATACATTGATCTAAGTGTTTAAGCCACCTGCCAGCTTATTTGCTCATTTCATATTCCAACAACAAATTATCAATTTTTTTTTTTTCAACCATCTCTGCAATCTTCGGTAACAATGTCTCAACTTTCTGACATACAAGCGGCACAGTGTAGTTTAGAAGAAAGTTTCTCCAAAAGGATGGCCCAGCTTGAAGCACAACTGCATACTGGAGGTAACTCCAAGGAAACTGTTGCAAGAGTCTCGGAGGAGTTTAGAGCATTCCGGGAGTTAATGTTTAACATGCTGGGTCTGCTTCGCAAGCAAATCAGTGAGTGTGCCAAAATGGTGGACATCATGGAGACCCGCCATCGACGTAAGGCACTTGTCTTTCTCGGAGTGCCTGAAGCCATCAAGGAGGACTGTACTAAGACCTTGCTTGTGATCCTTAATCAGAAGATGGGTCTCAAAGACGTTACAACAACCACCATCAAAACTTGTCACCGGATTGGTGCTCCATCCAAGGACCGTCGTCGCCCGGTGCTGGTAAGATTTTCTTCGGCGGAGGTTCGAGCTGCAGTCTGGAAGGCGAAGACGACGCTGAAGGGGACCGGCTTTTCGGTAAGAGAATTTCTTACTAGAACCCGACAGGCGACCTCCAACATGGCCCGCCAACATTTCGGCATGTCGGCCTGCTGGACACAAGATGGCACGATAATCGTCAAACCTTCCGATAATAGCCGCCATAAAATAACATCACCGGAAGAGCTGGAACCACTCATAGCCAAATACCCTAAGGCTACATCCCCGCCCAAAGCGAGTTCGAGTACGGCCGCTAAAAGTTCGCGGAGACAGTGACCGTTTTGCACTACTGCACAGTTGTCATCATTTATAAACACATTTTGGTTGTTCATATAATTAGTTTGTTGATATCAAAACACAAGTACGCAGGGTTTTTGTATTGTTTAGATTGCATATCGTAAATCAGAACAATTTGTGACAACAACTAGTGTCATCTGTCAAGATAACGTTTGTTTATTTTAATTTTTTTAATTTTTAGGTGCGTTCGGAAATTGTATAGTTGAATGTCTGTCTTCTATTTTGCTTTCCTCCTTACTTATTATTTTATTTTATTTTCTTGTTTATTCTCTTGTCTATTTCTCTATTTAATTTAATTGAATCATTTATGCTTACTATATATTTCGATCATGTTTAATGTCACAAATCTTACTTTGTTTTAGTACATTAATTCTGTGTGTGTCTGCTGGCGGGTGGTGTAGAAATGCAATTTGCCAACTCCAGCCTATATATCATAAAACCTACATATATATATTATTATTTTTGTTTTTAGTACATATTTATTATATATAGTATTTTAGTAGGTATTTTTTTCTTTTTTTATAGTATATTATACACTTATGATGATGACCGATGATGAAGCTGACATATATTTTTCTGCCGATGACTCTTCCGAAGATGCCAGTTATAGTTCCTTGACAGAGACTCTGGGTGACCAATTACGGCAAACATTTCCCGTTCAATCTTGTCCTTCTCTAAATGTTTGCCATATAAATGCGCAAAGTGTCCCAAGTCATTTTAGCGATTTAACCGAGACTTTCTCTGACAACAACGTTCATGCCGTCCTGATTTCGGAGACTTGGCTCAAGCCCCACCTACCCTCCACCTCATATCCTCTCTCTGGCTTTTTACTTATCCGCAATGACCGTTTAGATAAAAGAGGTGGGGGCGTCGCTATCTACCTTCGTAGTTACTTACCTTATAAAATCCTCGCCTCTTCCTCCTCCAACCTTTCCACCTACGCAGAATACCTATTCCTCGAAGTTTGTGTCAAGGGAGTCAACGTAATTCTAGGTGTAGTCTACTGCCCCCCAACCGTTAACTACTTCTCTAGTCTGGAAACAGTTCTGGAATCTTTAGGGTCGGAACACTCGCATCACATCATCATGGGCGATTTCAACACTGACCTCCTAGCCCCAAACACTCCTCGTACACGCAATCTCCTTCAGATCATCCAAGCAACCAGCCTTCATATCCTGCCCCTTCAAGCCACTCACCACAATTTAGACTACCAGGATACCTGGCTAGATCTAATGCTCACCTCTGCCCCACACCTTGTCTCTTCCCATGGACAACTCCTTGCCCCTGGTTTTTCCCATCATGACCTTATCTTCCTCTCCTATATCCTGAAACCTCCTAAACCACCTCCTAAACTTCTTCAGATCCGCAGTTTCCGACGCATGGATGTTGACAAATTACACGCAGATGCTGCTAAGATCGATTGGGAGGATATGGCAGCTGCCACCGACGTGGACAACAAAATTCGTATTTTTAATGACACCATTTTGAAATTGTATGACGTCCACGCTCCTATCAGGAGAGTAAAACTAAAACGTGCCCCGGCGCCTTGGATGACGAATGAGGTTCGAACTGCTATGAGACGAAGGGACCAGTCCTTTCTTGGTTTCAAGAAAGATCGCTGCGAAGACAAATGGAACCTTTATAAGGCTGCAAGGAATCGGTGCAACCAGGTGATACGCAACGCTAAACGCCGACATATTCTTCAAAACATAGAGTCTTCTTCTTCATCCAGTATCTGGAAATTTCTTGGTACTCTAGGAATTGGTAAACAACAGCATCACGTGTTTAACAATAAAATTGGTTTGAATGATATCAACCGTCATTTCTCATTCACAGCTACGCTGGATCTTCAAACCAAATGTCAAACGCTACACTACATATCTGGTCTAACCAGTTCCACTTCTGACTCGTTTGTATTTTCTCCGGTGTCTCCCGAGGATATCAAGAAGATTGTTCTTTCTATCCGTTCTAATGCTGTGGGGTGTGATGGCATTAGCCGTCGCATGATTGTCACCATCCTAGACTGCATTCTCTTAGTAATTACTCATATAATAAACTTCTCTCTTGACTCCGGTACTTTCCCCTCCTTGTGGCGTAAGGCCTATATTATTCCTCTCCCAAAAAATAATAACCCTTTACTTCCTGAACATTTTCGGCCTATTTCTATTCTTCCATTTTTATCTAAAGTACTCGAGGCCTGTGTATATAAGCAACTCTCACAGTTTGTATACAGAAACCAACTTTTAAGCCCTCTACAATCGGGCTTCAGACCCGGCCACAGCACAGTTACCGCTCTCCTTAAAGTGACTGGCGATATTAGGGAGGGCATGGAAGACACCAAAGTCACAGTATTAGTCCTAGTTGACTTCTCTAATGCCTTTAATACCGTCAATCACGAAATCCTGTTATCTATCCTATCCCATCTTATGGTTCCTTCTGAGACACTGGAATGGTTCTCCACCTATCTTCAGGGGCGACAGCAATGTGTTCGTGTTGATGACTTATCATCAAGTTGGTGCGACCTCCACGCTGGCGTCCCACAAGGCGGAATTTTATCTCCTCTCTTATTCTCTATATTTATTAACCTCGTAACTCAACATCTTCAGTGTGCGTATCACCTGTATGCTGATGATCTGCAGCTGTACTCACAGGCAAGGGTAGAGGACGTAACGCGGGCTATTGACGAGGTCAATCGGGACCTGGAGGTCATAGAATCCTTTTCGATGAGATTTGAACTGTCAGTTAATCCGACCAAATGTCAGGCAATCATAACAGGCAGCAAACGGATTATGAGCAGATTGGATACTGCCTCTATCCCACCGGTCGTCTACAATGGTTTAATTATTCCATTCAGCCCGGTAGTCAAAGACCTGGGCTTACTTATCGATTCATCCCTCGATTGGCGAGCTCAAATTACTAGCGTGAGCCAGAAAGTAACTGGCAATTTGCGAACATTGTATCGTCTCAAGAATTTCCTACCGCCTAAAACCAAAGTTACGCTCATGCAGTCCTTAATAATGCCAATAATTGACTATGGTGATGTGTGTTATTTCGACCTGAATGCAGACCTTCTAAATAAGCTTGACCGTCTTCTCAATAACTGCATTCGATGCATCTTCAATCTTCGGAAGTATGACCATGTGTCTGCTTTGCGTTCCCAATTAAACTGGTTACCTATTCGCCTCCGCCGCAAACAGCGTGCACTTACCTCTCTATTTGCATTTCTCAATTCACCGTCCTCACCTACTTACCTTGCTCCCTACTTATGTTACCTGTCTAGCAATCATGACAGAAATCTTCGCTCAGATAACAATCTGCTTCTCTTATGTCCCTCTCACAACTCCGACTTCGTGAACTCTTCGTTCTTTGTTCAAGCAGTACTACTCTGGAATGCACTCCCGCTCGAAATCAGGATGTCCACAAACCGCTTTATATTCAAAAAGAAGGTACATGCTCTCCTACTTAAAGAAATGGCAGAACGGTCTAATCCATAGTTAAGTATACCTCAAATTCAGGTTTTCATAGTGTACGAATATGATATGTCTATGTATCTATATAAATATACTTGTATATATATGCATGTGTATCTTTGCGTATTTATGATGTGTAATTGTAGTATGTGTGTATATGTTTATATATGTAGTGAACCGTATATATTTTCATTGTACATTTGATATTATGATGTAACCTCTGTGCACCTACCTGACAAGATTTCTACATCACCCAAAGGTTGACTGGAAGAGAATGCCCTGGGCATTAAGTCCGCCGGTGTACAAAAGTGCATAAAGATGAATAAATAAATAAATAAATAAAATAAATTATTATTATTAATATTGTCATTCACACATTGTTTTTCGCTTCCAATCACACTTAAATTCAACATTATTCCGATGGCATGATGATCGGCGATTAGTGACTCAAGGACATACGCACACGCGCCCGCTCCGTCCCGCTCGCATCCAGATATGATCCAAACACGATGCCTCAGGCCGGCCGTCCGCGATCGCCTCGCGCGTTGCTTCGACGCTCGGTGTTACACACAGCAGGCCGCATTCACACAGGGCGTTTTTGTACCTTGTTACAGTAGGGTTAATCGTGTCGTTCAATATGTTTATATTGGTGTCGCCAATTACTATAACACTGTCAGATGCTGGTACCGATTGCAGTTTATTATTGGCCGGTGGTCTATATATCGCGATAATATGTGTTTTATTTTTCCCGTGTTTCAATTGACCTTGAATTGTTTCTACTGCTTCTGTGTTTACCATTTTAGCTTCGCAGTTTAATGCATTCTTAGCGTAAATTAATATTCCTCCTCCTCTTCTCGTTTCTCTAGTATGTATGTATTTAGCTCTTCCCCCGGACCGCCGTAAGGTGTTAACGTGTTCACTAACTCTTCAACTTATTTTTTTAATAATTTAAATTCGTCTTTAAAAAATAAATTCAGTTCGCAATAATAGGAGTGCACAAGTTTTAAAGAGGTGGTGTGACAACACAAGAATCCTTGCTGCACATATCGAGATTAAAACTGCTGCCTGCGTGTGCGCCTGGTACCTCACCCGGCAAATCAACGAAGCACCGCCCATTCACTCAAGTAAGACCGCCTGCTTATTACTCATCTGCACTGCGCTGGCGCATAGACCACGCCCCCCGGGCCAACGATAGAAGGATCGACGCACCGACTACCCCGCCCCCTTTCTAGGCGCACCCCTATCAGCGCAGGGTCATTAGCGGGGACACTTCCTACTGTAAGGCGAAAAAAAGGAATCTTTCGTTGTATTCATATTTCTGTCAGTTTTGTTGTTGTGAACTGGTATTATGACTTCGCCGATAAACAAGTCTATCTCCGAATCCGCGATTAACTTTGCGGGGAAGGACGGTGAATAAGCATCATCTAATTATGTATTTCAAAGAACTAAGAGACATCGGGAGGACATAGACATTGCTGAACAGTTACATAACTTTAAGAAGGAAATGAAGGAAATGATGTCTGCTTTCCTAACAAAACAAGTCAACGAGTCCCAACAACTCTCTGAAACCCTAAAAGAAATCAAACAAACGAACTTTAACATAGAAAGCTCAGTCACTTTTCTCATGTCTCAGAACCAAGACCTAGAAAATAAAATAACACAATTAGAAAGCCAGGGGAAAGAAGATAAGAAATACATTGCTCTTTTAGAGAAAAAAATAGAGGATATAGGAACAGGTGTTCGTAAAACTAATTTTGTAATAAAAAATGTTCCGAGGGCTTCCGGTGAGTCTAAGCAGGACTTAATTGGCATGATTATGTGCCTTTCGCAAAAAACAGACTGCCCCGTTACTAAGAGCGATATTAAGGACATTTATAGAATGCGTGGTAAAACCAATGACAACACGAGTACACCAATCATAGTAGAAACTGGTTCCACTATCTTAAAAAACGATATAGGTACTGAAGTCTGGCAAGACTTTTAATATAAAACACAAATCCAAGCTGTGCTGTAAGCATATCGGCCTGTTGACGCACACAGATACACCCATTGTCTTATCGGAACACTTGACTAATAAGGGATCTCGCCTATTTTTCCTTGCTTGAGATCTCGCAAAATCAGGGTCGTATAAATATTGCTGGACCGCCTATGGCAGGGTTTATATAAGGAAGGATGACCACGCCCCAATGATAACCCTAGGAAGTGAAGAACAAATTCATCAACTTATGGGTAAAGCATGACTACTTTATAATATTTATTATTTCTGCCAACAATTTATCTGTATACACACTGAAATTGAGTTGTCATTGACTTGCCTATTCATTGTAATATTGATAGACCTGCCACTTGTCATATGTTTTTGCACATTGTTAATATATTTAAATTCTGCCACACCAGTACAATCACCCCATTACCATTCTGTACATTTAAAATCGAATATCTCTACAGACACCTTCACATACATTTGCTCTGTGAGGGGTAACCCTTACAGAGCAAATCAGCTCCGTTATACACACATACCCTATATTTGGATTGCACGAGTATCCTTACCCATTTTCTTTACAAACATTCAATTTCAAATCAAATACTTTCGTGACCTTTAATAACATGATCAATTACAAAATACACATATCAAAAAACAAAATAAACATCCATATCGTTAATAAATCTATTAATACTATAATATATGATCAACAAAGCCTCTTCCTATTCTACACAAATGTAAAACGAGCCTCCTTTTCTTATGTGTATGACATTAATTATATAATTCATATATGCAACTACCATAAAACACCTACTATTCTATTTCTAAAACATTCTAATTGATGAAACATTACAAACAGTGAAAGAACAGACAACATTGAAATCTCTAGTTCAACTGAATGTGATTGCTCGAATCTACTGAACACATTGCTATAAAGAAAAATGATTTTACTATATGTTCTCAGAATATCAGGAGCATATACCGTACCTTCGATGCTTTTGTAGTAATGTTATCGACTCTTAGATTCGAACCCGATGTACTTATTTTGACAGAGTGTAGATTAAGCACTAATGAGCCCATTCCGCAACTCACTAACTATAATTCCTATGCAACAACACGACAAATTAATCAAAACGATGGAGTTGCTGTATATGTAAAAAATACACTCAAACCAAAAATTCAAGAAATACAACTATCACAGGCGTCATGTCTTAAGATTGATATCCTAAATAATGTTGTACTAGGTATATACCGATCCCCCTCAAATACAAAGATTGACAGCTTCATGGACTCACTCAGCACACACCTAGATAAAATAGCCCCACAAAAGAATTTGATAATAGCTGGAGATATTAACATTAATATTAGGACCAAAGAAACTGAAGCGCCCACGAAAATAGAAACCGTCTACACTACCTAAACATATTGTCAACTTATGGTATATTACCTGGTCATATTTTACCGACTAGAGAACGGAACTGCCTGGATCATTTCATGCTGATAATTAATAGAAAGAGGACATCTGCCTCTATTGCTATTTTACAAACCACAGTAACTGATCATTATACTACATTTTTATCACTGTCCAAAATAAAAAATAAAGAGTCTGTAACTAAAATTACCACCACTATACATTACGAACAAGCTTTGAAGTACTTACAAGGAAAAAACATCTCAGACTTACTTTTTGTGACGATCCTAATTTACTTACTGACCTTCTTATACATAAACTAACTGACACCATCAAAAGAAACTCTACAACTACAAAAATTCCAAACAGCAAACGCATAATCAAGCCATGGATCACCCCAGGCATACTTAGATGTATTAAAAACAGAAAAAGACTACAAAAAAACTCTAGGTGTGACCCACATAATATAATTATAAAAATAACATATTGTCGTTATAGAAATTACTGCAATAATTTAATCAAAAAATTAAAAAGGACACGAAAGAGAATTACTAACTAAGTCTTTAACAAACACAAAGCAACTATGGAAAAATATTAAATCTATAACTTACACAAATAAACAAATAAACCAAAGTACAGAACTCTTATGTGTTAAGACATGAATCAATAAATTTTGTAAATGACTACTTTGTGAACATTGGAAAAGATTTAGCTCAAAAAACTCAGCCTCGACCAAATAATATATCTACTGAACAACCCAGTACCTCTCCACAAATGAACTCTTTTGTATTATCAGATACTGATCCAGCTGAAGTAAAAATAATTTTAAACAGCTTGAAATCGAATAGTGCCCCAGGATGGGACAATATTACGCCTAGATTCTTAAAGTATACTAGCAGTGTAATTGTTTCCATCATTAGTCACCTGGCTAACCTTTGTTTCAAGGCTTGCATTTTTCCAACCTCATTGAAACAGTCCATTATAACGCCGGTACATAAGGGTGCGAGCAGGGCGGGGTTGGGTGTGCTACAATAGGCCAAGATCGCCTGGAGCGTGCACGGCGAATGGTCATGGGGGAGAGCGCAACAGTCGTGTAGATCCCCATGGCAAGTCTGGGTGTCATCCTTCCCGTGGTTGCCGCCTGTTTTAGGTCTGATTCCCTACGAAACAGATAAAACAGAAACACCCAGACGCAATTCCATCCCACAAAACCTATCCTTTCCCATTTCCTATCCCATCCACACCTTCTGCGGACACTAAGTGGTTGGTGCCTGCGGCCTCACTATCAACAAAGACTGAGAGTGAGGGGGAGGGGGGGGGGGGCAACCACCCGCATGTTTGCGTCGCGGTCATGCTGGAGCCTTACCACGACCTCACCAAGGCACAGGCAGAGGACATCGAGGACCAGCTGCAGGGCGCGCTAGATAAGGAGATCTTCTCGCCCAGCACGTCAAGCGCACCCGTCGCTACGCCACAGTTTAGAGGCAAGGCCTTATACAGTGAGGGCGCCCTAAAGATGTGGTTTCAACGACGAATATGCCCTACACTGGCTTCGCCGATCCCTGGTAAGGATCCCATCACCACGTGAAAGCACCAAACTGGTCGTCAGGAGGCAGTCTGAGATTCCGAAAAGGATGAAGGCTGGACTCCTGGTACCACAAATCGGACCAGATGATACACTGGTCCGTATACAAACGAGGCTAAAGTACCAGAATAGCCAGTACAATGTGGCCAACTGGACCCTCTACCATGCCGAGGCGCAGGAGGAAAAGAAATGTCTCTTCCTAGTGCTCGGCATCCCAGAAGAGGGACGTCGTGAAGCTCAAGGCTAGCGAGCGTAGAGTATACTACAAACTGGGTAACCTCTACGTTCGCTTCCTTGATGAACGTCCCGCCCCACCAACTAACCCAGACGAGGAGCCAGAATCTTCCCCACAACACCCTAAGGACGGCAATGGAGGGGATCCTCTGATACCCGTTGAGGAGACTGGGAGGACATAGACATTGCTGAACAGTTACATAACTTTAAGAAGGAAATGAAGGAAATGATGTCTGCTTTCCTAACAAAACAAGTCAACGAGTCCCAACAACTCTCTGAAACCCTAAAAGAAATCAAACAAACGAACTTTAACATAGAAAGCTCAGTCACTTTTCTCATGTCTCAGAACCAAGACCTAGAAAATAAAATAACACAATTAGAAAGCCAGGGGAAAGAAGATAAGAAATACATTGCTCTTTTAGAGAAAAAAATAGAGGATATAGGAACAGGTGTTCGTAAAACTAATTTTGTAATAAAAAATGTTCCGAGGGCTTCCGGTGAGTCTAAGCAGGACTTAATTGGCATGATTATGTGCCTTTCGCAAAAAACAGACTGCCCCGTTACTAAGAGCGATATTAAGGACA